CACAGGCGATGCCCTGACTGCCTCTCGCTCTGCCCGACGGAGAAGCGTGGGTGACCCCCCCCCCCGTACCTCTCCCCTGCCTGGGGGGGGAGTAGAGGGACCCCCCCCCGTGTCTATTTTGCCCTGACAGGGGTTTGCTGAGCTACTCCGGGGGAGTCAGGCCCCTGCTGCCGCAGAGAGCCGAGCGCCCCGGAGATCGGCCCCTCCCCGCCGCCTCAGGCCTGCGCTGCCTCAGCCAGGTACGTGCCCCCCCCCCCACGTGACAGAGCCCGCGAGTGCGGAGCCCGCTGGGCCGGGGAACGCAGGAACCCCCCGCTGTGGTACCCGGGGGTCGGCTGGTGTCACTGCTGCAAACCCGCCCGCCCCGTCCCTTCCTAGGCCCCCTGCCCGGGATCGCTGCTCCGGCCCCCGAGGGGTCAGGAGAGGGGGTGGAGGGGGTTGAGACTGGTCCTGGAGTGAGCCCCGGGGGGACCCGAGCCCGCCTGGGGCGGGACCCCGGGTTCCCGACTCCCCGAGGCGGCCAGGTGGCGGCACCGCTAGTGAGTAGCGCAGAGCCCAGCCCTGGGACCCAGAGAGCCGGGGAGGCCCCGCTTGATGGGCAGCTGCCTAGGGGCACCGCGGCTGTCACGGCCCCGTAGCCGAAGCAGCGCTGTTACTGGAGGCTGAGCTCCGCCTGGGATCCCGTGACTCCGGGAGCCGGCGCTCGCAGTAACCCCCGGCCCGGCTGCAGGGGAAGGGGAGGTGGCGGCGCAGGCACCATCGCGGCTCTGCAGCCACCTGCCCCGCGGGGGCCCCGCTCCAGCCCGGCCGGTGCCCTGCGCCCCACCCGCCGCCAGGGGCCGCTGCCGGCCCCGCTCCCCGGCAAGCCGGCTCCTCCCCGCACGCAGCTCCCGGCCCCTGCCAGCGAGTCCGCGGCTCCCTCCCGGCGGCGCTCGCTCTGCTCCGCCCGGCAGCGGGGCCGGCCCGTGGCGAGGCGAGGCGGCGCCGGGACTCTGCCCAGCCCGGAGCGGGAGCGGAGCTCGGGCTCGGCCGGGCCGGGCCTGGCCCCGTTGGGATCCAGCCGCGCGGCTCGTTCCCCGAGCGGGCCGGCGGGCGAGTCTCGGCGTGACTTCCCCGGGTCCCTGCGGAGCAGCCTCGCCCGGTGCCTGCCCGGCCCTGCCCGCCGCCAGCGGAGCTCCTCGGGCCCGGGGCGCTGCCCCGGGCGGGCGCGCGGGGAAACGCTCATGTCCGCCCCTGGGCCGCGGTGAGGGGCGAGCTCCAGATCCTCCCGCCCGGCCGAGCTCCGGCTGCGCCTGGGCCGGGAACAAAGGGCCATGGCCGAGCGGGCCGCTGCCCAGGTAAGGGCCCGGCGGGGGCTCCCCGAGCGGGTCAGGAAACCGCCTGGCGGAGGAGCCTGGACAGTGGGCCCTCGCGAGCTTCTCCCTGGCCTGGACCCGGGGAGCGCGGTGCTGCCCGCTCGCTCCTGGCGCAGGGCCCGGCCCAGGCTGGAAACTGAATGGGGAGGAGGGTCCTGACCCCTGGGGCGGAGGCGGGAGCAAGAATGGTCTGGCTGGTGTTTCTCAGACATTGGGGACAGCTCCGCTTGTGCGGGGCCATTTGCTGCTGGTTTGGGGAGCAGGGACCGGGGCTTTGCTGTTCCCCCAGCTGCAGGGCCCGACCTCCCAGCCGGGCCCGCCCTGGCAGCAGCCAACGCTCCAGCCTGGCTAGGATAGCGGGATCGGGCTTCTGCTGCGGAGCTCGAGGAGAGCACTTCATACCCATTTGTTGTTGAACCATAACTCAGGGTATTGTGTTGCGCACACACAGAGTAGCATCGCAGCCGCCTTCCAGAGGTGGCAGAAATGAGCTTTATGAGACCTTGTGACTATTGGAGAGTCCCTCTCTCTAATGTTTCTGCTTAATGATGATGGTTAATAATACATTCTCTTTTATTTCACCACACCTCAGGTGTTGAGCTTGTATCTTTTGTTTCTCTCATAGCCTGGACTGCAGGGGTGAAATCCTAAAGTGTCTGTTGACTTGACCCATAACTCCACAACCCCATTTCTGTGACTTTTATTTCACATCATAACAGACCTTAAGGGCTCTGTGGTGTTAGTAATGGTGGCTTTGTTTCTCTAATTTAATTACTTGGATTTTATTATTCTTTGTATAGCTACTTTAGTCCCCCAGAGTTCAAAAGCTTTTCATAAAAGGTATACATATCTACTGGGATCCCTAAACAGAGAGACCTCTAGGTGGAATGTGCCTTCTTTACCAATGTGTGCAAAACATGTCCACAAAGTCAAGGACAGGATATCAAAAATGCCTATTAAACTAATTCTGTGGGCGAAATCTACCAAGGAGGAAAGTCCAGTATTCTCTTGTTAATACCATGACTCTTGTGGAAAGTATTAAGGAATGTTAAATTACCACAAAGAGTCAGGTTCTCCCTTTTTCTCTCTCATCTGAAGGTATGTCTACATTGCACACCACTGGCCACGGCTTGTAGGGTATGTGTAGCTGCACGCTGCAGTGATAGGTAGGCTGCAACCAGCCTGCAGTATGTAGCTACACCCAGCAATGAAAGGCTTTAGCAGGGGGAGGCAACGGGGAAAGGCTTCTGCAATGAGGAGTTCCTGGAACCTTTCCTGCTGCCTGTTCCTTGCCAGAGCCTTTCCCCGCTGCTGGAGTCTTTCACTGTGGTGGGGAAAGACTCTGGCAGTTCCCTGCTGCCAGAGCCTTTCCTGGCTGCAGAGATCTGCTGTAGCCTTTCCCCACTGTCTTCTCCCCTGCTAGAGCCTTTCCTTGCGGTGGTGAAATGCTCCAGCAACAGGGAGACAGTGGGACACTACACTGCTAAACCTAGCAGTATATACAAGGGAGGCACAGCTTGGGCTTGTGGAGAGCTGTGTAGGGTACAAACCCGAAGATTCTGCCATGTCTTTACTTGTCTAAGCAGTGCCTCACCGTCTGCACTGCTGTTTTTACCTGTGCTGGGGGCATGTATTACAGGTACTCTGTACACTGCCATAGGGAGAGTGCAGTGTAGACATACCTTGAAAGATGGCACCTCAGTAGCACAGTGCCTCTTGAATTTCTGATGAATCTTTGCTTAGACATCAGTGCCGAACCAAATCGCCAAAACCATTTCCAGCAGCAGCCAGGGTCTCCCTTCCAGGTTTTCCTCCTGAGAACTGACAAGGTGTCTCTCCCTTATTTTGTGTATTCCAGTGAGAATGTAACCTATGGATGGTATAGGAGTGAGCTTCTTAATGGCTTCAAATCCATACTGTGACTCTCAACAATCTAAATACTACTTAAGAGTCTGGCACACATAGGGAAAAGGGACTACAGATATATAAGAGTGATGTTAATTTCCCCTTTTCTAAATCAATTAAAAGATTGAAAAATAACTCTCCCATTAACTGAAGTCTGTGGGTCCCCTAGATATGAGCAGTAGCTGGACATATGCACTGACTGCTTTTTGAAACCCATGGGAATGTCCCCATAAGACTTAAGATCCAGTACCAGGTATTACTAAGAGTGGGAGACTCTAGCCTTGTTTCTCTCTCTAGCTGACCATGTGACCACAACTCCATATCTAATGTCTGTCTTTGCAAACAGGGTCCAGAACTGGATGCAGTGACACAGTGCCCATCTCCTTTACCGCCTCCCATTGTCCCTGAACGAACGTTTGAAAGAGAAACTCAGACTGCAGAGATTTCCCTGACTGTTGTGGCAGCAATTCAAGCCGTAGAGAGGAAGGTGGATTCTCATGCCACACGGTTGTTGGATCTGGAGGGGAGAACTGGGATGGCTGAGAAGAAATTAATAGACTGTGAGAAAACAGCAGTGGAGCTTGGCAACCAGTTGGAGAGTAAATGTGCTGCACTAGGAACTCTGATCCAGGAGTACGGGCTGCTGCAAAGGAGGCTGGAGAACATGGAGAACCTGCTGAAGAACAGGAACTTCTGGATCCTGAGACTCCCCCCAGGCACTAATGGAGAAGTCCCCAAGGTAACAATATCCCAGCTGGTGCTGGCAGGGAAGACTAAATGTTCAAACCAGTCTCGAGAGCTTTGCATGCAAGCTCAAGCCCGCAGTTTGGGTGCAGAATTAGAGGCACATTTTACAAGTGCCTACTGCAGACTAGAGAACAGTAGCACATATACTATGGCTGGAGTCAGGGATTGGAGGGGGAGCTGGGAAGAAGTGAGCCCTGGTGAGAGTTAATTAAACTAGGAGCTCAAAGAAATTCAGAAATAAAACTGCCCCTTAATAGCTTTTTGCCTCTTTTCCCTCTTGGGAGCTGTTTGTGGGAAGTGGATCAGAGGAGAATGTCCCTGTTGTGAATAAAAATATTAACATAAGAACAGCCATACTGGGTCAGACCAGTGGTCCATCTAGCCCAGTATCCTGTCTTCTGACAGTGGCCAATGCCAGGAACTTCAGAGGGAATGAACAGAACAGGCTATCATCAAGTGATCCATCCCTTGTCATCCACTCCCAGCTTCTGGCAAACAGAGGCTAGGGACACTCAGAGCATGGTGTTGCATCCCTACCCATCCTGGCTAATAGCCATTGATGGACCTGTCCTCCATGAACTTATCTAATTTTTTTGAACCTTGTTCTAGTCTTGACCTTCACAACATCCCCTGGCAAAGAGTTCCACAGGTTGACTGTGCGTTGTGTGAAGAAGTACTTCTTTTAGTTTGTTTAAAACCTGCTGCCTATTAATTTCATTGAGTGACCCCTAGTTCTTGTGTTATGGGAAGGAGTAAACAACACTTCCTTATTCACTTTTTCCACACTGGTCAAGTTTTTATGGACCTCTATTATATCCCCTATTAGTCGTCTGTTTTCCAAGGTGAAAAGTCCCAGTCTTTTTAATCTCCCCTCATATGGAAGCTGTTCTATACCCCGATCATTTTTTTTTGCCTTTTTCTGTGCCTTTTCCAATTCCAATATATTTTTTTTGAGATGGGGTGACCAGAACTGCATGCAGTATTCAAGATGTGTACACACCTTGGATTTATATAGATGCATTATGATTTTTTCTGTCTTATCTATCAGGGGAGTAGCCGTGTTAGTCTGTATCCACAAAAACAACAAGGAGTCCGGTGGCACCTTAAAGACTAACAGATATATTTGGGCATAAGTTTTTGTGGGTAAAAAAACCCACCTCTTCACCTGCAATCACAGAAAAAGAGAGTTTTTTACCCACGAAAGATTATGCCCAAATATATCTGTTAGTCTTTAAGGTGCCACCGGACTCCTAGTTGTTTTTGTCTTATCTATCCCTTTCCGAATGATTCCCAACATTGTTAGCTTTTTTGACTGCTGCTGCACATTGAGTGGATGTTTTCAGAGAACTATCCACTGACTCCAGGATATATTCATGAGTGGTCACAGCTAATCTACACCCCCCATCATTTTGTATGTATAGTTGGGATTATGTTTTCTAATGTGCATTACTTTGCATTTATCAACATTGAATTTCATCTGCCATTTTGTTGCCCAGTCACTCAGTTTTGTGAGATCCCTTGTAACTCTTAGTTAAGTCCAAAGCAAACTGCAATCTTGAGTAATTTTGTATCATCTGCCAATTGTGCTACCTCACTGTTCACCTTTTCCCAGATCATTTATGAATACGTAGATCAGTACTGGTCCCAGTACAGACCCCTGGGGGACACCACTATTGACCGCTTTCCATTCTGAAAACTGACCATTTATTCCTACCCTTTGTTTCCTGTCTTTTAACCAGTTACTGATCCATGAGAGGACCTTCCCACTTATCCCATGACTGCTTTCTTTGCTTAAGAGTCTTTGTTGAGGGACCTTGTCAAAGACTTTCTGAAAGTCTGAGTATACTGTATCCACTGAGTATACTGGATCACTCTTGTGCACATGTTTGCTTGACTCCCTCAAAGAATTCTAATAGATTGGTGAGGCATGATTTCCCCAACCCAGACTCTTCCCCAACAAAATGTGTTCATCTATGTTTGAAACTATAGTACAGAACAGAATTATCAATCAATTTGCCTGGTACTGAAGTTAGGTTTGCTGGCCTGTAATTGCCAGGATCACCTCTGGAGCCTTTTTTTGAAAATTGGTGTCACCTTAGCTATTGTCCAGTCATCTGGTACAGAAGCTGATTTACGTGATAGGTTACATACCACAGTTAATAGTTCTGCAATTTCATATTTGAATTCCTTCAGAACTCTTGGGTGAGTACCATCGAGTCCTGATGACTTATTACTCTTTAATTTATCAATTTGTTCCCTAAGCTTCCTCAGATTTGTCATTTAAAAAGAATGGCTCAGGTATGGGAATCTCTCACATCCTGTGCACTGAAAACAGATACAAAGAATTCATTTAATTTGTCTGCAATGGCCTTATCTTTGACTGCTCCGTTAGCACCTTGATTTCCCACTGATTGTTTAGCCAGCTTCCTGCTTCTGATGTACTAAATGTTTTTTTCCTGTAGGGATTTTTTAAAGTGAGGATTTCTCAGATCCAGTTCATTAGGATTTGGGGTTAATGGTTCATGGCTGGCAGTCTTCTTCCAGTAGCCAGACTTCTTCTTAATGTATGCACAACATGTCTCAGGTGGCACATGACCAGGATTCATCATTGTATTTGGTCCTCTGGCTGGATCATTAGCTTCCACGGCCAAGGCCTGGTACTGCCAGGGAGTGTGACGTGAACGCTGATCCATGCCCCCAGTAGCCAGACTGATTCCCTGATATTACAAGCTGCTATTAGTGAGGCAACCAAGCAGCAGAAAAGAGCAGGTAAAGGGTGTCTGAGGCTAGGGAAGGGTGGCAGGAAGCAACAGATAGGTTTTCTCTGGTGCCAAGCGAAAGGGCATAGCTGGGACTCAGGAGACAGGCTTGATGTACTTAAAATTGGGACTAGGTGAACAATGCAACCAAAGAAAAACTAAAAGTTCCTTTAGTGTTCATTCATATTTGCATTGACAGCTTTTGCACTTCACAAATATTTTAGCAAGCATGTTTACTGGTGGAAATGTCATGAAAATGGTATTTAAAAAACAAAAAACATTGCTGCATATTCATAGAGACTATCAAATTTATAAGTGTGAATACTTGACTGGAAACTTCATTCTGTGTCATAGTCATCTGTAACGGGGTTTGGGACTCACCACCGCAGCACCTCCTACTGGTTGTTCCGGGAATTAGCTCAGTCCAGTGGAGCGCCCCTCCTGGTGGTGTCCCGCCCGTCGTCTCGGTTGGCGTGTCTGAGCCCTCGTCGCTCACCAACTCGCGCCGTCCTCTTTGGGACCACTGCCCTCTGGCAGTGCCCCTCTGTCTTTCCACACCCCCTTCCGGGGGGGGTGGGTCAATCAGCAGTCTCCTTGTCCAGCCACCATAGTCAACCACACCCCCCCCAAAGTCTAATCCCTCCCGTCAGGGATCTGGCGTGGTCTGTACTGGCCGCTCCCTATGGCCAATGGCTAGATGTACTGCATGGGGGTAGGGGGGGACCCAGGCCCGCCCTCTACTCTGGGTCCCGACCCAGGGACCCTCTGGCGGCAGCCTCGCTGTCCTCCTACTCTCCCCTCGTCTGTCCACTTCCCTGGGCCGCTTCCCCTACGGCCCCTTGCACCCGCTAGGCCCTTCCACTCAGGGCCTTAGGCTAGAGCTCCCCTCTGCTCCCTGAGCCTGGCCAGTACTGGGTTGTCCACGGTGCTAGTCTCCCAGCTTGGAGATAGATCTTCCCCTCTCGAAGGCCTGGGACAGACTGACTGCTCGCTCCCTGTGCAGTCTTTTATAGGGCTGAGCCAGGCCCTGATTGGCTGTCTGCAACCTGGGCCCTGATTGGCTCCCAGTAAGCCCTTCTCTGATTGGCTGTGCATCTGTGCAGGCCCAGTGGCCTGCTGCAGCCCATAATCTCAGGGAGTGGGGCAGCTGCCCCACTAGACATCCAATCGGAACTGAAACAAAGGCTGTGTGTCCCATCCAAACTGCTCCTTTCAAATATTCATAACAAAGTCTTTGCAAATTAGCTATAGCTTGAAATTATCTGCAGAAATAATTAGTTGGCAAATAACCTTGAAAACTGCAATCTGTTTGATTTGCATCAGGTGGAATTCACCGTATGAATGAATGATTATGAAATATTTGCCCAGCTTTTCAGAAAAGAGCTGCCTCTGTGTGTATCTGAAAACTGTAAACATTTCTGAATCAGATTTGTATTATAACTAGTGACAGTCCAAAGCTGTGAACCTCGGATCTGGAACAGAATTTCCCCTGAGTTCTGGAGCAGTTGAACATGGGGTTTGAGGTCAGCTCCTTCACAGAAATGAGGATCAACCATGATGCCTGATTCCGATCTCATTTCATAATTTGACACAATAATAACTTGTATTAACAATAATAAATTATAACTTGAATAATTTCAGTGGCCTTGGTCCCAGTTTATATTGATGTGAGATCAGAATTGGATCTGTGGGGTTTGGATAAATTCTGATCTGGATTTGAAGCCGGCAGTGTTCAGAGCCAGGGTTTCAATTGAGATCCATTATGTTGTGGAAATAGGAATCTGAGAATTGTTTCCAGATACACATGGGAATAGATTTGTGTTGTGGATTCTTCACCTCACTGAATTAGCTTTGACATCTGAGTGGGGTGGAGAGAGGTTTTATTCCCCTTTCACTGAAGTTAAGGAATCAGATGCCAAGATATATGTGTTGCAGAAGGTGCTAAGTGTGTAACATTTGTGATTCCAGGTGCCCGTGACATTTGATGACGTCTCAGTCTATTTCAATGACAAGGAGTGGGAGAAACTAGACGAATGGCAGAAGGAACTGTACAAGAATGTAATGAAGGGCAATTATGAATCTTTGATCTCCTTAGGTAAAGATCAGTTTTCACCTGTTTGTTATAAACGGACTTCAGAGATTTTACAGGCTGGTGGGTCAGCACATAGTGTCCCCAGTGCCTTTATGATTGAAGGTCAGCTCCCTTTTAAAAGTAGACTTACAAATATTCCTCCTTCCATTGCTTTCTAGCTTTGGGTAGTGACTGGACATGTGTGTGTTCATCCCTTATAAATAAGGCTATGATTTTTTTTTCACGGAGATCGTGGAAGTCACAGCGACCTCTGTGACTTTAGCCCCTGGTGGTGGGGGGCAGAGCTCCGAGTGGCCCTGCCCCCCGGAGCTCTGAGCGGGTCCCCACAGCTGCCTAGCCGTTTCCCGACAGTGTGGGGACCCTGCAGCTGAGGTTCCCAGTTTGTCATGGATATTTTTAGTAAAAGTCACGGACAGGTCACGGTCTTCCGTGACTTTTTCTTTATTGCCCGTGACTTTTACTAAAAATATCCATAACAAAATCTTAGTCTTACTTATAAACACTGTTAGGCGATCCTCACATCGGGGCAGAGACATGCTGGCAGAGCAGCGTGGGAAAAGCCTGCTTATGCTGCACCTATTTGCTGGATAAACACAGGACACAGGTCTCCAAAACTCTTAATCCAGTGGGGCCTTTAAGGAATGCGGAGTTCACTTTAAAATGGTGCTTTGGATATACAAGTTGCTGTAGACATGCCGTATAGACACACAATGAAAGGCTGACTTTCAGCATTGACCTAGTGCTGCTCCCATTTAAGTCAATGGGAGTTTTACCACTCACTTCAGTGGGAGTGTAGTTGGGCCAATGCTGAACTCCTCTGAAACGTCCCCCCAAAATCTCCTTCGCTAAAGGGTGGTGGTTGGTCATCGCTTCTGGAATCTGGGGGTGGGGGAGAAGTGACTCTTATGGAAAGTGGCAAGGAATGGTTCCTGTACGCAGATACTTTTCAAATCATTATGATCGAGAACAAGTGCCCTAAAGGGACACTGTCTAGGTGCTTTCAGACTCTGAGTGAAATGTAATTTCAGGTCTTATGTTGGTTCCTGTGTCCTCCTGCTGATTTTTGTGACTTCATTGCATTTTAAAATAAACTCTCCTGTTGCTATTTGAAGTCCCCTGTGCATGAGGGTGGGTGTGTAATTTCCAGCTCAAGCAGAGATACCTGTGCTAGCTCTGATCAAGCTGGTGTGCTAAAAATAGCAGTGTAGGTGCGATGGCACAAGCAGAGGGAGGGACTGTTCGCCCCGAGTACAAACCCATCTGAAACTCTAGGTAGTTTCTCAGGTGGTTAACCCCTCCTGCTGCTTACGCTACCGTGGCTACACTTCTATTTTTGGTGTGCTATGTCTCCTTGAGCTGGGAATCCAGTGTAGACATACTGCCCCACCCCACCCCCCACCCAAAAAAAAAAAAAAACACACACACAGGAGAAATAGTAGAATTAACTGTGCAGGCAGTGCTGTCAACTGCACACTGAACAAATTGGAAAAAACAGAGGAATAACTTTTGCCTACTCTGACAGTTACATTTGTCTTCGGTGTTAGTTGTAGCAATAGTGTGTTGCGAGCTCTGTTGAAGTCAATGGGAGTTTTACTGTTGACTTCAGGGGGACCAGGATTTCACCCAGGAAGCTGAAACATTCTCAGTGTGGTTTTTTGTTTGTTTTGAAGTTGAGGGTGCCCCGTTAATTCTTTTTTTGTACATGAGGGGTCTCAAATTCCATTAGGCCTGGAAATTCCTGATTTTCATCTAGGGAATCCAACCAGATGCTCATGAGATTGATTTCCCTTTTGCCGAGTCTGCATTAAAACATTCTTGTGTCCATTCACTGTACCCACTGAGGAAAGGTGAGAGGAAATGTTGGTAAATAAAGCTTATGGCACAATAATCTCTTTCCCACTGAATAGACTCTGCAATTTCCAAACCTGGTGTTTTGTCACATGTCGAACAAGGAGTAGAGTCACGGGTCAGAGGGCAGCAGGACTCAGATGAGGAGAGAGAAATCCTTACTGACCCCAGTGCAGGTGAGTAGCAGATTAACGCAATACAGGGTAAATGTATTCATTGTAGAATAATGATACGGTGCGTTGCACATCTGGGGGCACTGATTCTGGGCAGAATGCAGAGTTCTACCAGAGATGGAGTAGAGAGAGAGAACAAGGGCAGGAGTATTCTTTGCTGGGTTTCTACAGTGAGGGAAGGACAGAGACAGTAAGGGGAGAGGGAAAGCACAGTTGGGGTTAGAGACAATCTTAGACTCAAGGGAGCAAGGTGTGGACAGGTAATTACTCAGCATCTAGATATAGGTCAGCCTGCAAAATAGTGACTCTCCAGACTGTGGAGAGTCATGGGAACAGAGCTGTAAGTGGTGGAATGACTCAACAGGGAAGACAATACAGCTGCAGTCAGCAAGTTATCTTCTCATGGTGCTTATAACAAGGAAGGAGAATTAGGTAATATAAGCAGGGAAATGGACAGGGACCCTCTCCCCTGCTGGTGGTTCAGCCCAACCTTTCCAAAGGCCCCCCTTCTCCCCTGCCTCCCAAGCAGCCGCTCTTATAGCCCTTCTTTCTGTCTATCTACCCCTCCTCACTGTAGTATCTAAGCACCTCACAGTCACTGATGGATTTATCTTCAGACTATCCCTTTGAGGTAAAGTGTTTTATAGCTCAGGAAACTGAGGCACAGGATAGATTAAGTGACTTGTCCAGGTTAACACAGGCAGTCTGGCTGAGACAGACATTGAACCCAAGTATCCTGAGTCCCAGTCCAGGGCCCTGTCCATTAACCCATCCTTCCTAGCACGCCTCCCTGAGTGCACCTTTCCAGGCTGAGGAGAAGCTAAGATGGGGTGAACACCCTGTTCACTGTCTCCTCACCTTGTCCCATTTGGAGAGGTGAGGATTAGGGCAACCAGAATGAGCAGCTGGAGGATCAGAGAGCTAAGGTGGAATGAGCTCACTGCGTGGGCAAGAGGCTGGATACGGAGCTGCACAGAAAGGTGATGGAGGGTTGGGGTGAGATGGTCTTGAAGAAAGAGATTATACTGGCTATCGCATTCTGGACCCCCTGAAGATTGCAGTGTTGGGATTTAGGAAGTTCATTAACCCCGGGAATGTTTGAGGTGACTGAGGCACTACTAAAGACTTTGGCAGTAGTGGTTTGAGGTCAGGGCAAATCACCTTCTGCAGGAAAACGCAAAAATGGCAAATCAGCCCTAAAATTGTGGTGTCCGCAGTGCCTCAGTTCTTTCCGTGATGGGGATGCTCTGTGAATCAGAAAAGGATTAGTGCTAATGGGGTCTTCTATCCCCACTCAGTGGAATGAATCGTATCTGGGTTCTCTCTTTATTTCAGCAGGTATAAGGGTTGTGATCAAAACAGAGGAGATTAATCCTGAGGACTCCCCTGAAAACCTGGAGCTGGACAGAATGTTGGAACGATCAGAAGGAAGTTTCCAGAATCCAGACCAGGAAGTAACCCATGGTAGTCCGTATGGCTCAGTAACGCCTCCGAGAAAACCCTCAGGGAACTGTCTGGATGAGTCCACCGACTATAAAACAGATTTCAGCGAAATCAGAAGAGTCATTGTTCAGCAGGGTAACTGCACAGGTGAGTGGCTGTATGTGCTGAATGTGAGAAAAGCTTTAGGCCAAGGAGAAGCCATGTATTACATCAGAGGAGCTGAGCAAAAGCAGGTATGAATTGTACAGAGTGAGGAGAAGCTCCAGGGTACAGCAGTGATATACAGTGCAGCAGAGAATCCATACGGGAGGGAAGCCCAGAGTCTGCCTGGGTTGGGGGAAACTTTTAAGCAAAAGAACAGTCTTAAATCCCACCAGAAACCCATGCAGGAGGAACACTTGTGGAAGTAGTGACCATGAGAGCAGCAGAAGTCACACATCAAGTCAAGGGACTCCAGAGAAAGACACACCAGACACATCTAGTAAATGTCAGAAACATGTCTCTGAAGACCAGTCCTACTGCACAGCAGAGACTTCATTCATTAGTCTGTAACAGGTCACTAGCATGTTCCTGGTGGGGTGAAGGCTTCGACCACTCTACATGTCCTATTAGACATCAGAGACTCGAGAGTGAGACACCTTGCCAATGCATTGAGTATGAGAGGAACTCTATTACAGTGCAACATCTTGTAAAATGCCAGTGAGCCCACACTGCAGACACTCACTACATGGAATGGAGGAAAGCATTAGCCAACCATATCCCCTTCTCCATCACCAGCTAGTCTGCTCAGAAACCGGATCAAAACACTGAAGAACTAAGTGCTTCAGAGATAAACAAGCTCGGATATCCCCAAACAATGCTTTCCCTGAGGATTTACCACACCCTAGTCAGCTGTCGAAAGCAACCCCCTCTGGGTAGAAGAAAACTGCTGTGTAAATACTACGAGCTAAAATAGGATTAAGGTAAAATTGGAAGTGTGTTAGGATGACGGTTACCTAGGAACTAGAGTTAAGTCTTGTAACCTGTCAAAGGGCTTATTCCTACAAGGCAAGGAATTGGGTATAAAGTTATTGGTGGAACCGACTAGGGGAGAGCAGACACCCAGACTATCTACCGGGCCTATATGTACACCTTGAACATTCTGTGCCATGTAGCGTGACTGGGAACTAATCAAATACCATGGCCAGTGGAAAGTAGAGTCTACCTCATACTTAACCCAGAGGGGCCAGATCACCATGCCAAGTTTTCCAGGGAGACCCAGAGTGATGGTTAACTGGGTCCTGTGATTAGTGCAAATATTTTTCATTCTGCTAAGTCTGTCTTGCTAAAGTGGGCAAAAAGGAGAAGCCAGCCTCGTCCTAGTTCTTTGTGGTCATAGTGATTTCATCCCGTTTTGCCTAACGCATCCTTTTCCTACAATTGGGGAATGCAGAGGGAGAATCCTAAAACAAACCTAAAATGGATCAAATTGTTTTAGCCAAATTAACATTACTGGAGTGCTCTATCCCATCCAGAACTTTACCATCCAAAGTGAAACTCGGATGAAAGTCCCCCCCACCTTGTAACTAAGTATTATGTGCTGCTTTATGGTATTTTGTGTTGCCAAGATCTCTTTGGCTTTTGTGAAGATCAGTAAACACCCCCCTCTCCCCCCCACACACCTTTTTTTTGTTTTGTTTTGTTTTGTTTTTTAAGAAACTTTTTCTTGTTTCTCTCAGTAGCTGGCAGCCAACTATTTATCTGGGTTATATGTGCGTTCCTCTGTTTTCTCACCTATCCCCTACCCACACACAATGAATTGGAACAATTTTTGACAAGACTTTTAGTTAGCTTATTTCATAGATATGTTTAGCTCCATCCTAGGTGATCCTTGATACGTGATGATAATTTGCTGCTGTGGTGGTGGTGGTGTAGTGCTGTCCTATAGGGCCTGAGCTGTCTCTCACTTACAAACCCTGACTCTCTCCCGTGTAAACGCTAATAATAGCTTTGTGTAGATACAAATGGCAAGACCGAACCAGACTCCTGCTGCAGGACTTAAGGCTGGCAAACAAGCGCTCTTCTCAGGTTGGGGGCTGCACAGTGTCTGATCTTGCTGAGAATGATCTATATTCAGCCAATATTTTATTAACAAGGGGATACCACAGAATTGTGTCCCTGAAGTGTATGCCAAGTCACATTTGTTTCAGGGAAAAGTGGGTGAGGGGACTGCTGAATAGATTAATTTGTTTTCCTATTTAAACAAATATGCCTTCTCATACCCAAGTGGGGAGGCAGCGTTGCTGAGGAGCCATGCTTAAATTAAGCCGCACTTGCTGGAGAGGTTTCCTGAAAAAATATCCTGAGTATACAGACAATTTAGCTCAGTGTTCATTTGGCGTTGATCTAAAGCCCATTGAAATGGGATTTTATAGGGAGATCTGCACAGGTCCATCCCCAGGGGATGTTTTTTAAATCCTTGCGATTCAGTGAAATCTAATCCATTTCAAATGCAAAAAAAATTGTGCTTCAGAAGAATATTTACAATGAAAGCCCCAGGCTAAGTCCTCTCTGGCAGGGTCTGGTGTATCCAGATCCAAAGAGGGAAGTGACTGTACCTGAGACAGGCAAATTGCCCCACACTGTCTCTCAATTTGAAAGCAGAATTTTTAAAAAGGGCTCCTGGGAGCCCCTGGCAGCACATCACTGACACGTGGAAGAGCAAGGACAGATTAACGCAAGGCTTCTAGCCTTGGGAGTAAAGTTCCCAAGAGTGATGATGGAGCCGAAGTCCTTGCACAGATTCCTGCCAAGCTGCATTAACCTGGTAGCAGTGTCAGTTGTCCCCTAATAGCTCTGTGCAACCGGGACAGCTAAAAGCCTGATACCCTCAAAACAAAATCTAAGAAAATGGCAGCAAATTGCTGAGCAGCTCTAAAACAGTGGAATCTGTGATGTTCTTCCAGAGCTGATTCGCCAGTGTCCTTGGTAATGTCCTAGAATTCCCAAACATTGAGACAGGCAAGCAACATCTTTTGACCGCCTCTCTAAGTAGCAAATCCAGAGGGTTTCTCCAGGAACTCTGGCAGGAATTCCTTGCCAGAGGATGTTGTGAAGGCCAAGATTATAACAGGGTTCAAAAAAGAACTAGGTAAATTCGTGGAGGATAGGTCCATCAATGGCTATTAGCCAGGATGGGCAGGGATGGTGTCCCTAGCCTCCGTTTGCCAGAAGCTGGGAATGAGCGACAGGGAATGGATCACTTGATGATTATCTGTTCTGTTCATTCCCTCTGGGGCACCTGGCACTGGTCACTGTTGGAAGACAGGCTACTGGCCTAGATAGACCTCTGGTCTGACCCAGTATGGCTGTTCTTATGTCACTTTGCTCAGAAAAACTCTTCAGGCAATTTCCATTGTGTATCAAGAATGTCTTAATCCTAAGAGGCTTCCTTTATCCTAAGCAGATGAAATTAATGATGTCTTGGTTCTCTTTTAAATTCTCCCAGATGATGGGATTGTGATCAAAACCGAGGAGGAGGATGATCCTGACACCCTGGAGCCATATGCCATGTTCTCGGGCAGGGCAGAGCAGCAGATTTTCCAGAATCATGAGCCGGGGACAACCTGTGAGGCTCAGTGCAGTTCCAAAATGCAACAGAGAAACCTAATCGGAAACAGGCCAGGGCAATCTGCTCCCTGTGAAAGAGACTCCAGTGAAACGAAGACGGTCATCGTCCACCAGAGAAACCGCACCAGGGAAAGACCTTATATCTGCCCTGAGTGTGGGAAAAGCTTCATGCTGAAGATCAACTTTATAATCCACCAGAGGAACCATCTCAAAGAGGGGCCCTACGAATGTAATGAGTGCGACTTAAGCTTCAGGATCAAGCAGCAGTTTATCCTGCACCAGCGCAGCCACACGCGCCGGGGCGTCGGCCCAGCCCGGCGTGTGGAGAACTTCAGAGACCAGCACAGCCTCAAGCCAGAGCAGAGAACGCCAGCGGCAGGGAAACCCTATAAATGCACAGAGTGTGAGAGCAGCTTCAGCCACAAGTCGAGCCTCAGCAAACATCAGATCACGCACGTGGGGGAGCGGCCGTACACGTGCAGCGAGTGCAGGAAGAGCTTCCGGCTACAGATCAGCCTGATCATGCACCAGAGGATCCACACTGGGAAGAGCGAGATGTCCTTCATATGCCCTCAGTGCGGGAAAAACTTTAGTCGCCCCTCCCATCTCCTCAGGCACCAGAGGACTCACACGGGGGAGCGGCCCTATAAATGCACCCAGTGCGAGAAAACCTTCAGTGAGAAGTCCAAGCTTACCAACCACTACCGCATCCACACGCGGGAGCGGCCGCATGCCTGCACCGAATGCGGCAAAGGCTTTATCCGCAAGCACCACCTGCTGGAGCATCAGCGCATCCACACTGGGGAGCGACCCTACCACTGCACTGAGTGCGGCAAGAACTTCACTCAGAAGCACCACCTGCTGGAGCACCAGCGGGCTCACACCGGCGAGAGGCCCTACCCCTGCACTGAGTGCACTAAGTGCTTCCGCTATAAACAGTCCCTTAAGTACCACTTGAGGACGCACACGGGGGAGTAGGAGCCAATGGGAGCTGCACCCCACCTGGGCATTTGAGTCAGGAGTCTTTGTGGAAGGAAGCAGTGGTGCGACAGTGTGTAGGGACTGATAATTTGATGTAAAACAAATAACATGCAGCAAAATTTAAAAGAACAGAAAAAGCTAATTTAGGGTAAATATTCATCATAATGTACAGGATATTTTGCTGAAGTAGGACTAACTGCTTTTTAAATCTATTCCTTTTGATAATAAATGTGAAGTAACTTTTATTTGATAAGCAAATTTAAGATTTCCGTTTTTTTAAATATATAATTTTACACTGTACATCGTACCTTTTTAATCTGGAAAATCCCAAAGTGGTTTACATGCCTTCTACAGGGATCATGTCACATGCTGCTGAGATGCAGCTGCCCCCGGGTGGAACATGGCATCTCTTTAACCGTGCACAGCAATAGTATGTGCTCCAATCCCGGTCGAGATTGTTAGTATATCCACACAGAAACTACAAAAGATTTTGTATGGATTATTAGATGTAAAATGATAAAGGATGGCTTGCCCTAACACAATCATTAATTATACAATACAGTGGAATCCCAGTCACATTAAAATAGTCATGCCACCTGGAAGCCAGCCAGCCAACCACCTCTTTATCGTTCTGGGAAGGTAGACAGTGTAAAGTGGAAATTTGTCTAGCTGACTGATGTAAACGCCCCTGCTCTTGTAATGAAAAGGATCTACTCAGTTATCCAGTATGTCTCCCTGCCAACACATGATGTTCCCAATTGTGTCGGTCATTCTAATTTCAAATGACCCAAGTGGTAAAGTTTCCACTGCATCCCTTGGCCAGCTGTTCTCAGCTGCTCCATCTCCGCGTTGGAAAGTTTGCAGATATATGCTAACTCTCTAATGGGCTTTATGGTCAGGGCTTTGGTGTTCTATTTCATCTGAAAGAGCACTGCCCTGGGGCATTGGCTCAGTGCATGTTCATTCAGTAAGGGCTGGGAGAACCTTGATGAGTGTGTGGATCCTTGGAGGAGTCCTCCCAGCCCTAGTTTCACCACAGTGTTCAGACTGATGTGAAGCCAGGTGCTGGTTTCCCTGTGCAGTGTCCCTGTCTAGTGTGTCCTGCTGTGAATGGGAAAAATGAACAGCAGCACAGGATGAGGTGGCTGTGTCTCCGGTGCTCTTCTGTGTGTGTGTTGGGGTAGAAGAGAGGGCTCTGAATCTCCTGCAGCCCAGGGACAGGGTGGAAATAGGAATAAAGCCTTTGGTTGGGTTTAGGAAACATCCCTTGCTAGATCCGGTTGTGTCCAGGTCAGTAGGTGTTTCCCAGGGATCCACCGAATGGTGAATATTCAGGTGTTGAATTTCATTTTATTGTCACACTGGAGTCAGTGGAGAGTGAGGGACCAATAGATCTTCATACTGGGCTATAAATAATCCAGCTTTGTGCTACTGGATTACTCATTCCTCCCAGTGCCTTTTTCTGAAATACTTACAGCTCTGTGATTATTCCAGGGCTGTCATTTCATGATTCTTGCAGTTCACATGATTAGTGGCATCAAATTTAATTTTATTGGCTTTTGTCACAGATTAAATCTAGAGAAATTTGAGCTGAAAAGTCATATTAGGCCGTACAGTCCACTCCTGGGTGCCAATGTAGAATCCTCTCCTATTGGATGAAATTCTCCCCTGTGCAGATGGCTAGCAATTGGGTGAGTTAAGTAGGATTTTAGTGGTGCCAGTGCCTTATTCTGGCCTGACCATAGATAAATTGCACCCGTTTGGACAATATCTCCAATAAACCATGGCGGTTTTTTTTAAGCTGTTAACATGTTTTTCAGACTAAATTGTGTGCTACCTAAAAATAAGCATCTCATTCGAGGTATCAATGTATGTTCTATTTATATAAAGTGTAATGTATTAGCTAGCTATGCACTGACTCTCTCTTAAGCACTTATGTGGCCCCAATTATCATCGTATCTAAGTACTTTACAACCTGTAATGTGTTTATCCTCTCTCACTCTGTAAGGAATTGAACTCAGGTCCTATACGTGCTAAGCAACAGCCCTAATCAGTGGACTACCCTTGCTTAGTGGGCCCTTACAACCTGATTTCGCCATAGAGCATTTCATTGCAAATTGCAGTTGTACCTCCCTCCCCCAAATTATAATACCACATATTTCCTCTGGCTGTTTTAATTGCATGGCTCTAATGCTTGGAATTCTCTTCTTCCAGATAAAATACAAGCATTCTGGATCAAGAGAATTTAAAAAGTAACAAGATATGCTACGCTACAAAGATATTGGGAACCAATATAAACCCAGTCAGGGATACGGTGGTCAGGGACTGTCTCAGCATTTGAACGATGGACTCACTGCTGGGTGTCCATACTATTTGGAGACTGGCCTGTTCTGTGAGCTCTTCCCCTGTGCAGGTGGTGCTGCTCATGCCCAGAGCTGAGGAAGAATCTTCTCTGGGTTTTGCTTTAAATGGCTACAGGCTGGTTCCCAGGCTGCACTCTGTCTCGTCAGCATAGCTGCTGTGCCCATCACCTAGTGAGGAGAAACTGGGACTGCCCAGGCCAGCATGGGAGAGGGAGAGTTGGGGAAACACTAATGTCCACCCCTGTGCAGAGATGAGGGGGTGAGATCTGGAGTCCTCCTGCCCCACTGAGTTCCATCTGCATCTGGGCTTGGGAAGGTGGATCGTGGCTGAACGTGGGCTCCTGATCAGGTGAGTGATTTAATCTAGGATCTGAAAGCATAAAGCTGTATTGCCTCAGCTGAGAGACCCAGGTCTATTGGCTCAAAGACTGTAGCAAACTCAGACTTGTGTGTTGTCCAGCCCTGGCCTGTGAGCATTGGCTGCACATGCAACACAACTCCACTCTCAGTTGGGGAAAGACAATTGTGATGTACGTTCCAGACTGCATACGTATTATTTTTAATGTCACGCTTGGAAGGAGGTTTCCTTTTCCAGACTGGTAATCCTTTGAATCAGACCAGCCAACCCAAACTTTAGGGGCTGTCATTGTTTCACTCTCTGTATTTAAGTTTAAATTAAACCCATAGCATCAAGTTCTGCTCTCATTTTCGTACAGGCAGTGAATGCAGCCGTTAGAAGAATTTGGCTCTATTTTCTCAGTATGTTTTTAAATTAAAGTTCCTTCCTAAATGTTAAAGATTTAAGAATGTTTCTCTTATTGTCCTGACACATGGGCTGTGGGTCCCTCTGAGATGAGTATTTTTCAGTGGAATTGGTTTATTCTCAAGTTATAGGTGCTTGGGTGAAGGAGTTTGTAGGCTTGTGCAGAAGCTGCTTTGCAAACCAATGTAAACCGAACATACTGAACCAAATAACAAATCACCAGTGCAGACAAGACACCAAGCATCTTAAATAGTTTTTTTTTCTTAAATGAGCCTCTGATCTTCCAATCAGATCAGTGTGGGTGCAGGGGCACTGGTTTGTGTGCCTAGCATGTGTCTGTATAATGCCTTGGTCGATGGAGTCCTGTCTCAGTTGGGGCCTCTTGGTGCTGCTGTGATACATCTTAATAATTAATTTATTTTTTTTTAATAAATGGAGATATCCCATCTCCTAGATCTGGAAGGGACCTTGAAAGGTCATCGAGTCCAGCCCCCTGCCTTCACTAGCAGGACCAAGTACTGATTTTGCCCCAGATCCCTAAGTGGCCCCCTCAAGGATTGAACTCACAACCCTGGGTTTAGCAGGCCAATGCTCAAACCACTGAGCTATCCCTCCCCCCCCATCATATGGTCTGCCCATGCGGATCTGATTGCAGGTTGGGGGCCAGAGTCTGTCTTACAAACACAAGGTCCAAAAGGATCAGAGACTTGTCTGTCTCCAGAGCAGTCCCAGATAATATCTGAAAGCTGATGTAAAGAATTTGGGGGGCGGGGTATGAAACAGCCCTGCTTTGGTGTGTGATGTGCATGTCAAGTTTCAGCCCCATGCAATTTAAGCTGTCAAGAGATTTAACTCCCTCCTCAATCAGCTTCATAATGAACACCTCAGTAAACCATAAAGTATCTCAACTGGAATGTGACCCCGTAAGAACAAAGATCCAAGTTCAGGAAGCACGGAGGGGCTAGTGGCAAGTGAGAGCTCTTGAGCTGTGTCTCTTGTAGTTGACTCTGCCAAATGAGAAGATGACCTTGCATTCCTCTAATTTTCTGTTCACGGAAACAGGTTCTGGGATGGGTTGTGAAGTCATGGCATCCAATGCATTTACAACCCCTGCGGCCTCTGAGTGAACTTCATTGCAAACTGCAGAGATTTCCCTGTGGACAATAGTGGCTGCAATTCAAGCTGGGGAGAGGAAGGTGGATTCTCACGCCACGCGATTACTGAGGCAGGAGGGGAGAATGGGAAAGTCTGAAAAGAAATTAGACTGTGAGAGGACAGGGATGGAGTTTGCTAACCAGCTGGGGAGTAAGTGGGCCGTGCTGGAAATTCTGATCCAGGAGTACAATCTATTGCAGAGAATGTGGAGAACCTGCTGAAGAACAAGAACTTCTGGATTCTGAGATTCCCCCGGGACACTAATGGTGACGTTCGCAAGGTGACAATATCTCAGCTGGTGCTGGGGGGTAGGAGCAAAGCCTGACTCTGAGTTAAACATTAAAGAGGTGTTTAGCATGGGCGGAAAGAAGTTTTTGTGATTAACACACACAACTGAGAGTCATGAGATCTGGGTTCTTTATTTCTGCTTCTGCCAGAGACTTCCGGTGTGAGCTTGGGCAAGTCATTTATGTTACTGTAGTGCCTAGGAACCCCAGTCTAGGATCATGCCCCATTGTGCTAGCTGCTGTACAGAGAAGTAACAAAGAAAACAATTCCTGCCTCAGGGGTTGCAGTCTAGGTGATGGGCAGGATGCAAAGGTGGGTGGAACAGACAGCTGAGGGGATGAATGGACAATAAAGCAGAGTTTAGCCAAATCTAGGAAGAAAGTGAGGATCACATTTTTAAAAGCAGACTCTTATTATGGATCCCTCAGTTCCTGGTTGCCCATCTTCAGACACGTAGGGCTGGCCTGGCTGTTTCCGCTCTGAGATCCTGGCTTCCGATATATAATGTTAGATACCCAGGAACTGAGGGCACACTGAATCGGCTACTGATAACTTGGAATTTTGCCTCTCTGGGTCTAAGATCCCTGTTTTAGTAGTGAGGGAAAATAGTATTTGCCTCCCTCTCTGGAGTGTTGTGAGGATGCGTTCATTGATACTTATGAGGCACTCCTATGATCCCCAACACTGGA